TACTTGTATCACTTTGTTATACTTCAAACTAAACTATAGATAGATTATACAAGTAATTTCTTTTAGCCCATATCCCAACTAACCCAGTTAGTGCTAAGATTATCACTCAAACCTTGTTCAGTTGCCCCTTCCCTCTTCGAAAATACGAATACTAAGCTCTATGTCATCATTCTCATGAAACACGAGATTGATTAATAAAACATTTCTTCTTAAGAAAAATCTAAAAATATGCAAACAATATTTAGAACTAGATCAAAACTAAAAGTCAAAAAAAAATTTGTGGTAGCATCTTCTCTTTGTTTTATGCTATAATTTGGAGGTAAGTTCAAGATTTAGTTGTATTTCAATATTTTTCATTTTTTAATTAACATAATTTGATAAAGCTATCTACCTTCGTAGACAGTCAAGTTTAAGTTACTGTCTCACTTATATACATGTTCTTGAGAGATAGGGGTTTAGTTTTTTTTTTTTTTGGTGGTAAGGAGAAAGGTGCTATCAGGCCAGAACCTCTCACAGGTCCTCCCGACTTAGGCACTTTGAAAGTGAGGGGAAAGGGTAAGGGAGTGCCGACCCCAAAGTGTTACTAATGGGGTTTGATCCCACAACCTAGTAAGATACAAACTTTGCTACTAGATTAAGCTTAGCTTGGTAGAGCCATAGAGTATTATCAATTAAGTTGTTTCGTACAAAATTCATAATACAAAGTAGAATAGTACTTCGGACGATATTAAAAAAATATATATAATAAAATAAAAAATAAAAATCCTATATTAAGAACTGTGCAATATTTAGGGGTGTCTATTTGGTTTTCGGTTTGGATTTTGTCAAATCTAATCCGATCCGAAATAAAATTCGGTTTTTAATTTTCAAATTCGAATTTCTTATCAACCCAATCCGATCCAATCCGAATTATAATTCGATTATTTGGATCCGAACCGAAAATCCGAATTAAAATACATTGTAAGTTTTTAGGGGCTAAAGTGATTATAAAAATAAAAATGCAATTATAAAGTTGTACACTATTAATACAAGTATTAAAAACGTTACATAATTTATATTAATGTAATTATCAACATATTTTTACATGATTAATATAAACAATCATTATTTGTAAAAGTACGGTTTCATATTTCGGTTTTCTGGATCCAAACAAGGTCAATCCGATCCGATTCGAAAATCCGAATTTTTCAAAAAATTTCAATCCGATTCGATCCGAATTAAAATTTGAATCCAATCTGAATTAATAATTCGATTTGGATTGGATTGAATTTCGATTTTTATCCAAATAATGGACACCCCAATTGATTATACAGAGTATACTATAATATCTTCGTTAACAATATTAATTGATTATACAGAGTATACTATAATATCTTCGTTTTTTATTTTTTCCAACCTCTTACCCCCGTGTAGTCCGTGTACTATCTTAATGGGCCCAATGGCTTAATTTAAAAGAGAACAAATATTTGGCTTTAAAGCAAAGTCTTTGATGATCACTATAAGTATTCAAGTAACCGAGTGAGCTGTAACTTATAAGTATTTTCAGGCATTTTAGCCTTTAAATTATGGAGGAGTTGTAACTTATGAATTTTCATTTTTTAAAAAAATAAAAAATCGTTAATCAAGTTACTCTTCATAGAAGCTAAGGTAAATATAGCATGTAATTATGGATGTAATTATATATAAAGTACTCGTATTTAATAAATTGATCTTTTGACACACATTTTCAATAAATGAATTATATAAGATAAACAGACAAATTAATCAAAAACAATTATATATTGATGACCCAACTCTTTCCTCCTACTGGTGTTGAAGTTATTATAATCAACTATTACATGCTTTAAATTAGTGTTTAAATTAAATTAAACACTCACTAAGTATATTACTTCGTACTAACTAAATTAGTTGACATTGGTAATGCACCCATTGTACTTAAATATGAACATGAGTACAAATATTTCACTACCATTTCAGCAACCCTGGACTTGGTTTTTTTTATGCAACAAATAACTTCACAATACGTTGTACAAAACAAGCTGTCATTGTTGTAACTTTAATTTGGAAGGAAAAGGTACGTCTAGCTAACGCACCAACTACTTGAAAAAATATCATCACTTCTTTGATAACGTTTTTTAAGCCAAGCCTCTTCATTCGATTGAGGAGAATCAAGAATGACGTACACTAGGCTAGATCCAAGGGCAACAATCACCCGCAAATGTAACTTCAAACGAGAATCTAAGGAAGGATATACCTAAAGAAATATTGAAAATAAAATATTTATTGTATAAGCTATTATGATACTAAAAATCTAAAATAGTGTAATGATAAGCTATTGATAGTAAAATTTAATTTTTAGATACAAGTGCTTATTCATTTCATCTTATTTTCAGTTATTTTTATGTCAATAAGTTTATATAAATTCAGATAATAAGAATTTATAAAGTCAAAATACTTGAGCTTGATAAGCTTATGCATGTCTTCTATGATATATTTGAATGAATGGAATTTATTGATCTCATATAACTTTCACCTAAGCCTATACCGTAGAAAAAACTCCCCTCCTCTCCTCTCTTCTAGAGTTTTTTAAATTTTTGGCCGTTTAAACCGGAAATAGTCTAATTCCTTTCCCTTTTACCTTACTTTTCTTTAGATTTGCAATTTAAGTTTCGATAAATATACACACGTAGTGTAGATGTTCGTCCCGTCTCCCTATGGAGTGGTTGTTTGTTAGTTTAGTAGTTTGTTTTTGTTTAGAGTTTGTTTGTGTGTTAGAGTTTATCAAAAAGGTATTCATATTTTGTCATATTTTCTGTTCATTGTAAAGATTTGTTCGGTTTCGCAACGGTGGTCAAATTTTCAAATATGTTCAAGGAAATCAAATGAAAATCATCCTTACGGTTACAACAAATAGTTAGACCAACTCTACGAATGAAAAGACTGTATATTCTGACGATGTGTGCGAGAGATATAACACGGTGCAAGATGTATTCAATGATCGTAGCTTTGATAAAGGAAACCCTTCTTGGATTCAATTTTATGTATTTTAATTTAAATTTTATTTATAGATGCCGTATGACTTTTTATTAATGAATTGATTTGGTTAAAAAGAAATACTCCGTATATATAACTTTCACTTACAAAACTCTATTGAAATGATACAATATCCAACATAGACATATCTGTAAAAGTGCTAGAAATCTAGAATCTAATAAGTTGGTCTATGCATGTCACTATGTGGATTGACAAACAAAAGACAAGCCAAAGAACAATTATTCCTCCTTGATATGGAGCTATGAATGTCAACATGCACAAGACATGGCAGGTCAAATTTTAATTAAAATGTTAAAACTTGATACACAAAGCCAACATTGTTATCAAGTCCAGCAAAATTCATGATACAATAATGTGAAAAGCTACTTTAGAAAGCCAGCATTATTATTAAGGCTAGCCTAATTACCAATGCTAATGTCTCCATCCCCTTAACACAGCTATTAAATATATTCAATGAAGATATTTGAGAGCTCAAAGTAAGACCTCTTGCTTGGAATGTTCGGATAAGTTTAGATAAGATAAGGGCTAATTATTAAGATTAGATAACATATGTTCGGGAAAGCAAAGGTAGTCTTTGCATGTTTGCACTAATGCTGCCTTGTTGATTTCCATTATCTAATCCACATTTACTTTCTCTCAATGCTACTGTAAGTCTGTAACAATAATGTAGTTTAGAGAGGTTTGTAAGCTTCTTATTTTTTTAAAAAAAAAGATAAAAACTATGTACATAGTGTGTATTTTTCTGACATTTTCTCCTATACACACCCTAGCATATATTGAACTTTGGACTTGATGTTCATATTAATTATCTGCTGATGAGAAAATGTGGAAAGACCAGATTTTCAATGATATGCGAAAATTTCTGTATTTTTACTCCCCATTAAGATCCATGCACACTTCTGTTTTAATGCTATGAAGTAAGAATCAGTATTCATTCCTATTGTAAGAGGATCTTGATCAGGGATTATAAATTGTAATGTTTGATGAGCTAAAATAATTGATGCTGCTACATCTAGTCTCGTATTTGCATCAGTATCAAAAGTTTGAATGGTTTGCGTTAGAATTTGCTTATTAGAGTAGGAGGCTCATCTTTGCATTAGCTCGGTTCTTGCACTCCCACCCCCAAGACTTTGACTAGGCTAATTGGCATCCTCGCACATTTGCATTATAAAAAAAGAATGATAGATAACCTGGTGCAGTCCTTCCCCACCCCAAAGACTTTGATTGACTAGGCTAATTGGCATCCAGATTTCAGCCTATGTACCTACCTTGCACACAACTCAGCTAGCAGGTAGTTGTATAACTTGTATGCTCTTTTTATGTGTAATATACTTCTGTACACAATTGTTTCTGTACTCGTGTTAGTTTAAGAGGCTTTAGAAAGTGGGAACTAACATCATGTTTAATCTAATCTTATGGCAAACATGCTAGAAGTCCAGGAGCAAAATAACTTATTCTGCTTAGATGATGCTGTAATTGAGAAACTTCTCATTTGCTTCACTAGGAAGATCTTGAAGTAATGCTGATGTACTGTTAAACTGTTTTGTAAAAAAAACTTACAATTCGATCTTAGCACGCATGCATGTCAATCTATATTATTAGAAGTGATGTTTTTATCAATGTCATATTTCTTTCGATCTTAGCTATGGAATATATTTGTGCATTTCAGAATGAACGGACTTTGATCAATGTTTAGGTAAGGGCATGGTAAAATATACCATCCCAATGTGTATAGGGGAACATATTTTGAATTAGGCTAACGACTCTAACCTTGTGTAGTAGAATGGTTTCACCTAGTCTAATGTAGATTTTATTTCATTTGTCAACTTATTAGTGACTAGGGTAACTGAGTATACATATGTAAGAATGTAATCGCGTATCCTTGTGACCTTGTTATGTAACAAGAGCGTATTGAATACTAATGACAACATGTCGAGCTAACAAGCTGGGCAAAAAATCATGTCATATAGTTTCAGAATAGAAAAAAAAAAAAAACAGAACAGAACTAACCAAAGTTTCCATCAATTATATAGCAATGGAAATTAAACAATGCAGTAGTCATAATATAACTATGTCTTATAGTTTTAGTTACATCAACAAGTTATTTGTTAACAGGATACTTAACAGCATTAAGCTGAAGTTTGCGAAGAGCAACTTGACCAAGATCAATGTCACAGCTGTCAGAGAGTTGAATCAAATACAGAAGAACATCAGAGAGTTCTTCACCAAGATGAACTTTCTCTTCTTCTTTCCAGTTTGGCAGACCTCTTTCTACCTCTCCTTTCCATTGGAATATCTCCGATAGCTCTCCCATTTCTCCCACCTGCATTTTTTTTTTCACTACGTTAATCTTTATTCACCACTACATGGCGTATATGCATGAAAAACAAGATATTGGTTGACCCTGTCTAAATTTAACTGTTACATTTTCCTAACCATTCACCAATAACAATATGACAGGATCGATATTTAAATATTTGTGTTTTTTTTTTTTTTTTAATCATCCTTCTGCTAGCTAATTAAGGATTTATTAAGAAATCTAACCATAGAGCAATGTTACTCATATTTATTAAGAAATCTGTTCATGAAAACAAGTATATACCATTATAACCCATCATAAATTGTAGAACAAACACAAACTACTAAAATGTTTATCATACACTTTCTCATGATACAACTAATAGGTCGAAATTTTATATCGGTATCATGTTCAAAAGTATGAGTAGTAACCTTAAATGTACAATATTTCCTACTTAGTCTACAACTACAAAACAACAAAGAAATTGTAGTCTCGACTACATCATTTGTAATCCTGACCAATTACATCACATAATCGAACCAAAACAAGATCCAGAGGTAAAAATAACAAATTAAAGGGAAGAAAAGAAAAAACTAGAGAAAAAGATAGTTGATACAAAAATACCAGAGCCAAAAGCAGGTTCCTAGGAGTATGATAAGGTTCCCAGCCTCTTTCCTTAGCAAAATCTCTCATCTTTTGCCTCAAAAGGTCTAGACTTACGCTTTCTTTCCCTGAAACTCCTGTCATTTCTCTCTCTCTCTCTCTCTAAAAAAACAGAGGAGGAAGATATGAAAGAGAAAATCAACTCAAGAAATATCACTCTATTCTATACTTAAATAAACATAAATAATTATATAAATATGAGGGAGGTAATAAATCTCAAAAGAAGGAAGATTTTGGAAATTTGATGATATTTGTTGATATCGAAAGGTATCTGTTTGATTGTTTCCTTTCTTTCTCTAATCTCTATGCTTATGCTCCTAATCTGGAGATTTGCTTCTATGATGGTGTCCCTTTATTATTGATAGCATAATCTTCATTTTAGGCTATAATATTGTTAATAATAATGATAATTATAAATTAATTGATATGATATGATATAATATAATATAATAGTATATCTAATTCCACCTAGCTACAAGGCTACCACTCATATCTAGCTGATCATGGGATTCATGGACCAAAATATATGATATTTTTTTATCAAGGTGTACCTATTACTTGATGTATAGGTTTATGCCTTTATGGTTTTACTTGTTCAATACGAAGTACTACATTAGATTCACAAAATGCTAACCTTAGTAATGTAACATATTTGAGATTACCTTGACAGTGCTCTCGCAACATATTTGGATTAGGGTAGCCTTGTCGAGAATAATGATTTCACATCCCGACTTGGTGATTATGGTGTGTATACGTGGTCAAAGTTGAAGTACTCCGTAGAATTTAATTAGATATCCCCAAGTAAACAAAAATAAAATAAGTAATCGCATATCCACCCTGTCATGTAACGAGAGTGTGTTAGCCACGGCTAGGCAAAGATACAATTATGTCTAACAATAAGGTTACATGCATCAAGACCATCAACTAAGTTATTTGTTAACAGGATACTTAACAGCATTAAGTTGAAGTTTGCGAAGAGCAACTTGACCAAGATCAATGCCACAACTGTCAGATAGTTGAATCAAATAGAGAAGAACATCAGAGAGTTCTTCACCAAGATGAACTTTCTCTTCTTCTTTCCAGTTTGGCAAACCTCTTTCCACCTCCCCTTTCCATTGGAATATCTCCGATAGCTCTCCCATTTCTCCCACCTGCATTTTTTTCGTCGTTATTTTTTTTTACCATAGTGTACATAAAAATACAATCTTGATCGACTCTATTCAAGTTTAGTTATCACATATTTCTTAATCATTAAAAATACAATAGTACGGAGTAGTGTTATTTTTATTATCTTTTCGTTACTTAATTAAGAATATATTAAGACATCTAATCATAGAATAAAATTGCTTGTATTATAGAATCAATGACAGGTATTTTTGGATATGTAAAAATAGTATACATGATTGATTGTATTATAAATTTATTACTCGCTTAAAAGTAAAAATTATTTACCTAAAAACAACTGTTTAGTTAACAAAAAAAATGGAAAATGAGAGTCATGACACTACATAGTAGTATAGTACATAGCAATATAGCATCACGTTTTTACATTGGACAGTGAAGTTTGACTGGAACACAACATTTGATGCACTTAAGGAATAGTGGAGTAGTGTCATAGTGTGATTAGTTAGCCTAATTGAATGAAACGCACTATAAACACATGACAAACCACTAGACAAAACACCTACAGATCTACTGGATTTTAATCGAGACCGATATACTTTTTAAAAAGCGATAAAGCAATGGATAAAAGTCATAAAACAATTTACATACAGTACATAAAATTGCCTTCATAAAATGTGAGAATGTTCTCTTAAAATCAAACAAATTCTTATATGTGGCTGGCGATATCGAGCAACTATGGGATTACTTAGTCAATGTTACAGAGGTTACCTTGTTATTATTTTAGGGGTTACTCGATCGGCCAATATTATTATATTATAGGTGTTACTCGATTAATGTTGTACGGAGTAGGTGTTACTCAGTCAGTTTTAAAATCAATTTTGTTATAATATTCCAAGTAACAATCAATTATAATTAACAAGACTTGATTAAGGAATGAGGATATATGATAGTACACTAGCTTCCAAATTTCCAACATTCATGGAAACAACTATACAGCCCATCAAGAATTTTGGAACATGTATAAACTATTACCAAGTTCAAACACTTTCACATAATTACATCTTGAGGTTCATAGTTTTTGGTAATTAGAGAGCCGCAATTCACAAGACCCCAGAATTTCCTGAAATCGGGAGGAAAACTCTAACCACATGAGCTATCCCTCACTCTCTCTTGAGAGTACAACACTACAACCAAGAGATCTAAATTTATTACTGCATTATATCCGGTAATATTTAGAGTTATTATGTAGCAATTAGAATGCACAGTACGTCGGAACTTATTATACTACTGCAGTACAACAACAACAACAAAATTTTAGTCGAGTTGTCGACCATGTCATTTGTAAATGATAAAGTATAAAACATAAATCGATGGTTGAGGCCCAAGATTATGTTTTATACTCTATCGATACCATGTTAATGGATCATTTCAACCAAAAACTTAAACTAATGGTTGAGGCCTAAGATTATGTTTTATACTCTATCAATAAACCAAACCGATCACATCACATAATTACAACAAATTAAGAAAATAAAAAAATAAAAAAAAAGAGAAAATGATAGTTGATATAAAAATACCAGAGCCAAAAGCAGGTTCCTAGGAGTATGATAAGGTTCCCAGCTTCTTTCCTTAGCAAAATCTCTCATCTTTTGCCTCAAAAGGTCTAAACTTACGCTTTCTTCCTTTGAAACTCCTGTCATTTTTCTGTCTCTCTCAAATATAACTACAAATAAAACAACGAAGAAGAAGAATAACTCAAGAAATAACAATCTTTTTTATACTTGATATTGAAACCTAATTTGTTTCCTCTCTTTTATTTTTATTTTAGAAATAATTTGTTTACTCTGTTTCTCTAATCTCTATGCTTTTGTTCCTAAATATGGGGATTTCATTTTATGAATGTGTCCCAGTATTATTGGCTGGTGGAATTAGACATGGTCATGTGGTGGGTCACGTGACCCACCGTTATTAAAATAAAAGAAAAATAGTTGTAACTTCATTTTCACAACAAGCTGGCGGGCCCTTCCCTTTCACTCTATTCCCCACATTTTTTTCTTTATCACGTGTTGTGTTTTTTAATTTTTAAACTTCTATTTATCAGGATAATTTTGTAAATAAATCAACAAAAAATTCTCTCTATTAAAGTATTTTTTCTGTCCATGCATACTAATTTAAAAATTTAACTAATAAAATCTTTAATTACCAATAAATAAAAATTATTATATAGTAATTGAATATTAACATTTGAAGTGCTATTTATTAAAACGATTCAAACAAGACCTATAAGAATATAATCTTTTCTTATGTATAAATCACTTACATTTGACAAAGTAGGTTAGATAAATATTGCAAAAGATTAAAATGTTTCACTTAAAAAAATGAAAGAAGTACGAGTATCACATTTTTGTAATTCAATTAAATCAATAATTGTTGAATCTGCATATTATGAATATTTGTTAACTCGTATTTATTTACAAAATTGTCACGTTAAAAATAGAAGAGGAATCAATTTAAGAAAATATTTGATAGGGATTGTCTCAATGTATAGTTTTCAAATTTTAAAATTTTAAAATTTATATTTAGTGATAATTAAATTTACTATTGATCAAAACTCTGTATTAGTATACAACATTTATTTTGAAGTGTTGAGTACAAAGTTACAAACATGTCCATGTTCAAAAACATAATAAAGGAATTTATAATATTCTCCTTTACGGAAAAAAAAATATAAAATAAAAAATAAAAAAATTTGTCCATGTTCAAATGTTTCCGTTGAAAGTAGGGATGGCAATTCTAATATCCGAAAAGCCGATCCATCTGATATAAATAAATGGACGAAAATCTGCATTAAATGGATGAAGGGCAGGTGACAGATAAAGTGGGTGACGGATCGGGTTGGATTCGGGTGGGGCTCCGTTTCATCCATCACCCGATCCGTCATCTGTTTATCACCCAATCCGCCATCCACCTGATTATATATATAAATTATTATTTTTTTTACCAAAAAATGTTTTTATTTTTATTTTTACCTTATATACCCTACTATTGGTTGGCGAAAAGTGACAAGTTTGTAAAAATTATTAAATTTCATTTAAAAAAAATATATAAAAGCCCCCCTCCCCTTAGGCCTTAATATACTACTGCACTACTGCTCCTATAAGCTATAACTTCATGTTTTTTATTTTTATATTTATTATAGGTATAGTTTGGAATTAAAAGTTAATTAATTATTTATTAATCAAGTTTAAATTGGCTAACAGTTTTTTTTTTAATAAGTAATATATTAGATAGTTAGAGTAAGGATTATAATTATCACCCGCTAAGCATTCGATCTACCCGTTTCACCCGCGGATTACGGATGAATCGGATGTGGGTGATGGGTTTTGCGGGTGACGGGTGGATCGGGTGGATGCGGGTGAAGCTTCATCTGACCCAAATTCGATCCGTTGCCATTCCTAGTTGAAAGACACAAGCATTTCTAGAATTCTAGTAAGGAACCCATAAACTTAAACTCCATACTCCTCCTCCATAGACCATAGGGTAGCTACATCTTTAGGTGTAATGTGTAAAAAGTTTCAAAATTTTGGTTTAGGCTTAATCTAACAACCGACTTCCTTAGGCCAAATTATCCAATATGCAAAAACTGTAGCCCAAACTAGGGGAAACCCAATTATTGAAATTAGCTTTTATTGGGTCCAATTTCTTTTGGGTTCTATTGTCCAGGTAAGAATGGGCCCCTGTCACTGCATGCTAGTTTGACTCATAAAAATTAAAAGGAAAAATTGTCAAAAATAATACAACTTTGAGCGGTCCGCTAAAAATAAGTCAATTTTTTTACTCCGTATTATTTCTAAATAATACAAACTTTGTAAAGTATCCACTTTAAACAAATTATGACGATTAGTGACTTGATTAATAGATACTTGGGACAAGTGTATTTTTTTTATTGGTTTAACAATTTAATTTATTTTTTTAATTTATCTTTTTAATTTTTAAAAGATATAAAATAATATTAATTATTATTATTATTATTATTATTATTATTATTATCTTATTATTATTATAACAAAAACCTACAAAGTCAATTGATTTACAAGAAATTAGTGGGGAGCCGAAATACAATCTGGGCCCCCACCCCTCTAACTATAGCGAACCCGATCCTATTACAGATATGAGCAGCTGCACGAGCACCAATATCCTGAGTTCTAGCAAACGCCTGAATCCGCTTCAGCAACGCAACAACATCCTTCTCTAATTCCCCCAACGAAGAAAAGGAGAAAGGAAGAAAATCATTATCATTATTATTATTATTATTTAAAAAAAAAAACCAACCCCTTCCCTCACACCTGCCACCCCTTTCCCCGACGCCTGGACCATTGGCGCCCCAGCCACTGCCCTCGCGCCGACGACCCCGATCCTCGCATCCCTACCCTCCCTCTCCCCTCCCCGACACAAAACCATTATCCCTCACCACCGGAAACTCCAAATCGTTGTTTCCACCACTCCCCAAACCCTAGTAGCTAGGGTTTTTGATGATGGGGAAGGGTCGGTTGCAGGTTTCGGGGCCACAAGAGGGATGTTTCGTGGTTTTTTTTGTGGGGAGGAAGGGGATTTTGTTGATAGTGGTTTGGAGGAAGGGGAATTGGGTTTCGATGATGGTGGTTCGGAGGGAGGGGGAAGGCGATGGTTCAGGCCAACGCTGGGAAGAGGGAAGGGGGGGAAGGGTGATGCGCGGGGGAGGGTTGGCGCCGACACCGGAGAGTGGGATCTGGGCGCGGCCGGCGCCGGAGGGCAAGGAGAAAGGCTGGTGGCGGTGGTAGAGATGTTTTCTTTTTTTCAAATATTTATTTTTGAAGAAATTTTTTAATTATTAATTAAAGTTGTTATTAAGAGTTAATTACATTATTAAACGAATTTATTAAAAAGGAAAAAAAAAATTAACCGGTCATTCAGATTGTAGGTAAAATTACTTTTTTTAAAGCGAACACCTCCAAAAGTTTGTATTATTTAAAAATAATCAAAAGTTTGACTTATTTTTAGTGAATTGCTTAAAATTTGTATTATTTTTGACAATTTTTCCAAATTAAAACCCTAACTGTCTTAAAGTTTTTTTTAATAGCGAGCAACAAGCTTTCCAAAAATGCATGGGAATGTAAGTTGTAACTTGTAAGTAGAAAAAAGTAGTTGAGTGTAGACTTTGTCAATTGAAATGTCTAATTTTGAATTTTGACTGGTCATATAGCAAATTAGCAATCCCATATCGTATACTGTCATGCCCAGAAAACCATGCTATAAAAACCATTTTATTTATCAACTTGCATTCAATGCTCTGTTGAATTATCAATGTCGTCACTTATTTGTTTAACAATTATTGTGGAATTATCAAAGAGTTTTCCCTATTCTTAGCATTATTAATTTATTATTGTGAATGTTATGGTAATGGGAAATCATTCATAGCAATTATTTGGAATTATCAAAAGGATATATTTTCTTCGTTTCAAAATATAATTCCCATTTTATTTATTTGGGTTAAACTTTGTAAACTTTGACTATAAATTCCCATTAATTTATAGGAGATTATATGTTTATGTGGGATCTTGTTGGATTCGTCGCATTGTATATTTTATTAATATCAAGTTTTTATAATTTTTACTCGTATGAAAATAGAGATATAAACGTTATAAAACATGTCTTAGAGACCATGAAAAGTCAAATGAGAACTATATTTAGGGACGGAGGAAATATAAAAACGATTTTGTTAATTACATGCTATTCCTTTAGATAATAATGCAAACAGCTCTTTTTTTTTTTTTTTTTTTTAATTAAAATAATGCAAACTGTGAAGAAATTTTTTTTCTTAAAACCTTAGCAATCACCAATTATTATTGTCGTAAGACTATGCTTACAAAAAATTTAAGTATCCTGGTTTTTATTATTATCTACCAGAGCAAATTAGCAATTTATAATACTTCGTAGTATGGATGTCTACCTGCTTAGTTTGATCGAGTCTTAAAGTCACGGAAGATTACTCGAGTTATGGGATTTAATATATAACTAACTTTTGTGGCATTCTTTACCACAACAAAAAAATATCAAGCTTATATTCTTGAACAAAGGAAGTAATATTGTAATAAGGATTAAGGACCACAAGCAACATACAGCTTAATCAAATTTTTAATATTTAAATTATATGAATCATATACATATATAACCAACCCTCTTTGATTCAAACAGAGCTACTTAGGACTTAGGTTAGTGTAATCATTGAATCCTCAATTAATTAATTAACCCCAAAACTCTCCAGTAGAGGAAGGAAAGGAAAAAGGAAAAGCAAAAAGTCATATTAATATTAAGGTAGTTATGTTTTTTATCATATTAAAAAGTAAATATAGAATTAAAAATTGATAAGTTGTCACTCAAACAACTCATAATTTGGCTTTTGCCATCTATTTGCCAGTTTGATACATAATAATTATTTTATAATTTTATTCTAATCAATGCTGGCACAGCATCTATCCATCTACTATCTATGACTCACATCACATTGCACATCTTATGAGCTGTGACTCTCCTTCTCCCTCACTTTATCCTTCTCCTTACTCCTTTTATTTCTCTTATATTCAATCTTATACTTTCTATTCCTAGTCAATCACATTCAACATTTATCATCATAAAAGTGTCCTAAACAATCTCAAGTTGTATATCCTAATTAAGTCGAGTCGAGTCTAGTACACGGACCTTTGATAGATAAATATGATAGCGGATCCAATTGGGATCCCGGCCTGTTTCTCATCCGGGGCACGGTCCACGGATGAGTTAGAAAACACGGCCGTGACACGGGCGGGTCAAAGTGTGATCATGTCAATGTATAGGACCAAGTTA